TTGATACTTTGATCATTATGTAGTGTCCATCTTTGTCTCTTTTCACAGCCTTTATTTGAAAGTCTATTTTATCTGATATGAGTATTGCGACTCCTGCTTTCTTTTGGTCTCCGTTTGCGTGGAATATTTTTTTCCAGCCCTTCACTTTTAGTCTGTATGTGTCCCTTGCTTTGAGGTGGGTCTCTTGTAGACAGCATATATAGGGGTCTTGCTTTTTTATCCATTCAGCCAGCCTTTGTCTTTTGGTTGGGGCATTCAACCCATTTACATTTAAGGTAATTATTGATAGGTATGGTCCCGTTGCCATTTATTTTGTTGTTTGGGGTTCACGTTTATACCACCTTTCTGTGTTTCCTGTCTAGAGAAGATCCTTTAATATTTGTTGAAGAGCTGGTTTGGTGGTGCTGAATTCTTTCAGCTTTTGCTTGTCTGTAAGGCTTTTGAGTTCTCCTTCATATCTGAATGAGATCCTTGCTGGGTAGAGTAATCTAGGTTGTAGGTTATTCTCTTTCATTACTTTAAGTATGTCCTGCCATTCCCTTCTGGCCTGAAGGGTTTCTATTGATAGATCAGCTGTTATCCTTATGGGAATCCCTTTGTGTGTTATTTGTTGTTTCTCCCTTGCTGCTTTTAATATTTGTTCTTTGTGTTTGATCTTTGTTAATTTGATTAATATGTGTCTTGGGGTGTTTCGCCTTGGGTTTATCCTGTTTGGGACTCTCTGGGTTTCTTGGACTTGGGTGGCTATTTCCTTCCCCATTTTAGGGAAGTTTTCAGCTATTATCTCCTCGAGTATCTTCTCATGGTCTTTCTTTTTGTCTTCTTCTTCTGGGACTCCTATGATTCGAATGTTGGGGCGTTTCACATTGTCCCAGAGGTCCCTGAGGTTGTCCTCATTTCTTTTGATTCTTTTTTCTTTTTTCCTCTCTGCTTCATTTATTTCCACCATTTTATCTTCTAACTCACTTATCCTATCTTCTGTCTCTGTTATTCTACTCATGGTTCCCTCCAGAGTGTTTTTGATCTCATTTATTTCATTATTAATTTTTAATTGACTTTTTTTTATTTCTTCTAGGTCCTTGTTAAACTTTTCTTGCATCTTCTCAATCTTTGTCTCCAGGCTATTTATTTGTAACTCCATTTTGTTTTCAAGATTTTGGATCATTTTTATTATCATTATTCTAAATTCTTTTTCAGGTAGATTCCCTATTTCCTCCTCTTTTGTTTGACTTGGTGGGCTTTTTTCATGTTCCTTTAGCTGTTGGGTATTTCTCTGCCTTTTCATCTTGTTTAGATTGCTGTGTCTGGAGTGGGCTTTCTGTATTCTTGTGGTCTGAGGTTCCTTTTTATTGTGGAGGTTTCACCCAGTGGGTGGGGTTGGACGATTGGTTTGTCAAGGTTTCCTGGTTAGGGAAGCTTGTGTCAGCGTTCTGGTGCGTGGAATTGGATTTCTTCTCTCTGGAGTGCAATGGAGTGTCCAGTAATGAGTTTTACGATGGATCTATGTGTTAGGTGTGACTTTGGAGAGCCTGTATGTTGACACTCAGGTCTATGTTTCTGCGTTGCTAAAGAATTTGTGTGGTATGTCTTGTACTGGAGCTTATTGGCTCTTGGGTGGTGGTTGGTTTTGGTGTAGGTATGGAAGCTTTTGGATGGTCTCTTATTCCTTAATGTTCCGTGTAGTCAGGAGTTTTCTGGTTTTCTCAAGATTTGGGCTTAAGTCTCCTGCCTCTGGATTTCAGTTTTGTTCTTCCAATAGTCTCAAGACTTCTCCAACTATACAGCACTGATAATAAAACTTCTAGGTTAATGGTGAAAAGATTCTCCACCGTGAGAGACAACCAGAGAGGTTCACAGAGTTACATGAAGAATAGGAGAGGGAGGAAGGAGATAGAGGTGATCAGGAGGAGAAAAAGGGGACTCAAGAGGAGAGAGACAGATCTACGCAGTTATCTGTTCCCAAAGTGTTCTCCGTAGCCCAGACACCCACAAAGATTCACAGAGTTGGATTGGGAAGAGAAGGGGAAAGGAGGAAATAGAGGTGTTCCGAGGTAGAAAACAGAGAGTCAAAAGTGGGAGAGTAATCACCACACTCCTGAATAGAAATGGGAACTGAATATTGGATTCTTAAATGACCAAAATTTATATCACCTACTACTGAAAAACAAAGATTAAAAATCTAGTGTAGAGGTTAGACTCTTTGAAATACAATATTTAAAAACAAAAACAAAATTTAGAAATGTATATGAAGTTTGATTTAAAAATAGGGTTTCTCTCTCTCTCTTTTTTTTTGGCAAGGTTATAGTGAAATGAAAATGAAAATTAAGGAATAATAGAGGAGTATTAGAGGACTTTAAAATAGGAGAGAAAAACAAGAAAAAGAAAAAAAAAGAAAAAAAAATTTTTTTTTCCCTAATTAAAAAAATCGTAAAAATATATGAAAATGAAAGTTGAGGAGTAATGGGGGAGTAATAGGGAATTTTAAAAGAAAATAAAAGAGAAAAAATTAAAAAAAATAAAAAAAAAGATAGAAAAAAAAATTTTTTTTTAATTAAAAAAAATATATATATATATATCTAGGAATTTCTCTGGATTTGTTGCAGTCAGCGTAGGTTCAGTTCAATTTCAGATAGCTCCTCTTTCCAGCTTACACTTCTCGATATCTGTAGGCCCCTTCTGGTGTAGTCGGTGTTACCTTCAGGGATTTTAGTCTGTTGCACCAGTCCTTTCTGAAGCGGTTCCCTTTGTTTATTTGGCTTCTGTTTGCCGTCTCTTCGGTGTCTCCATCCTAACCATTTTTAAGTGTACAGTTCCAGTTATGTAAAGTACAGGCTTCCCTGATGACTCATGGTAAAGAATGCCTGCAATGCAGGAAACCCAAGTTTGATCCCTAGGTCAGGAAGATCCTCTGGAGAAGGGAATGGCAATCCACCCCAGTATTCCTGCATGGAGAATCCCATGGACAGAGGCTACAATGAGGTCGCAAAGAGTCAGACATGACTGAGCAACTAACACACACACACACACAATGTCAAGTACATTCACCTTGTTGTGCCATGTCATTTCCTTTTCATCCTGAAGGTACTGAGGATAAAACTCAGCTGAGACAGACAGAATTGGTCAGGGACATGAAAAATTTAAACTTGACTTCCAGAAGTGTACTCCCTAAAAAATATGGCCCCAAAGCCTGTGCTTTGTGAAGGTCCACTTGTCCTTCCATAGTCAGAGTGGGTCCTGGCAGGAACTCCGGCTCCTTTGAGAACAGTTTCACTTTCCTTTGTCCCTGTGGACTCCCTCCCCACCCCTGCTGGGTCTGCCCCACCTCCGCCTTGCCCCAGAGTGCCTCTGGCCCCAGCCGGTCAGATGAAGGCAGTGTCACTGCAGGGACATTCCAGAGATCCAGCCTTGTGCTTCATCTGGCTCCAATCTGTCTTTCCCTCCGTGCCTCACTCCATCTTTGCATCTCAGCCCAGGCTGTATTTTCCCGTGATGTGGGCAGTGGAGCTGGGTGGCTACATGTCACAGTCCTGAAACCAGACCTCCTTGGTCCCCAGCCCAGTTGCATACCAACTAGGGATATGCCTTTGGCCAAGCCCCTCAACTCCTCTTAACCTCAGTGATCTTATGGTAAATCAGGATAAGAATGGCACCCACACCACGGCGGTTGTTATGAATATTTATTATGAGCACTTTTCACATTGTCTGCCACAAAACTGTACTTAATAAATGTCAGCTCTAATCCCAGGAATTGTTTGTTTTGCCTTTTCTCCTTACGAGGTGATCAGTTTTATTACATATCTACATGCTTGGATTAAACACCTCTAGGATCTAGGTTTATAGCAGACATCTCTTAGCAGGAAACAATATAATAATAATGTTATAATATCCAATAGCTATTGAGGAATTCCTCTTTTCTAGGTACTATGCCAGTAACAATAGTTAATGATAATTAACTAATAATGAATATCAAAACAGTAGCAAGTCCTGATGGAGTGCTGTCTGCCAGGCAATGTTCTAAATGTTTTTATATATTAACAAATCCTTATTAACAAATTCAAAATAACTATCCTTCAAGGAAGATATTATTTCCCTCATTTTACAGATCAGAAAACTGAAGCACAGAGAGGCAAAGTGACATGCTCAAGTAAGTGGACAAAGTTAGGACTCAAACTCGTTTCTCTGGTCCAGCTAGTCCTCTGGGCTCTGAATCCCAAACAATCGTGCCCAGTGTAGCCATCTGTCCGGCCTCTCTCTGAAGCTTACCAGCTCTCCGTTACTCTGGCAGATGTGCTATTCTGCTCAGGGGACTGGACAGCTGTGTCTCCAAAAGGGACATTCAAATAGGCCAGTGGGCCCCGAGGCCCTGCAGAAGACCTCACAACCACCTGGAAAACTCCGTTCTTCATATCTGGAGGGAGTCTGTGTCTTGATAGGATCTTAGGACCCACCCAGGCAGTCTTTCAGGTTTCCACGTGGTCTCTCCCCTCCTGGAAATAAGAATAAGCACTTAGAGGGACCAAAGGGGATCCCAACAGTTTTGAATAAGTCTTCCTTACCTTTACGGCAAGTGTCAGAATCATTTTTTTCTTCAAACATGAATTAGTTCATTCATCCTCACAAGGATTCTATGAGGTAGGTAACCGTCTTCACTTTCACTGGGGAAGGAGGGAGGAGAGACTGTGCCCTCAGGGATTAGACACCAGCTGTTGCCACATCTGCAGTTTGTACTTGGAGGTTTCCCCCAAGTTCTCCTGGCTGCAGGTGGTCCCGTCAGCCCACCTGCTGGAATTTTAACTCGGCGAGATATTGGGCCCTTTGCGACACAAATCTAGATATTCTCCAGCTCCCCCCTCCCCGCGCCGCCCCCCCGCAGCCCCGTAACTACTTGGGCGGTGGCGCCGGTGAGGCGCGAACTGCACAACGCCGTCTCCTAGCAACCGGGCAGTCGTCACATGACCTATTCACGTGGCCCCCCAGCCCAGCTGGGGTTGGAGCGCTAGCAGCGGGCAGCCGGCGGGGCGGGGCCGGCCAAGTTTGTTTCCCGAGTTCGGAGACCAGGAGCCCCCGCGGTTGTGGCGCAGGTGCTGTCCGGCTGGGTCGCGATGGAGCTGCCAGCCGTGAACCTGAAGGTGGCGATGGGCGGGGCGGGGGTGGCGCGGGGCGGGTCTCCCGGAGCGTGCTGGGCCTTTGCGCTTTTAAAGTAGGATTTTAGAGGTGAGAGGACCGAGAATCTGGGAAAAGTGGAGTGGTAGGGAGAAAGAGAACGAACAGAGCCCAGGTGGAAGGAGGTGGGCGGATAGACCATACCAGGGAAACGGATCCAGAAGGCCAGCAGGAAAGACCGAGAGGGAGCTGGAGGAGGGAAGCGGCCGTCTCTTCCTCGAGTCAGACCGGTTTAGCTGGGAGCGCTGAGCCCCTGAGGCTCGCTTTGGCCTGCGCGCCCAGAATTTCTCTGGAGAAAGAGGAAGGCGTGGTGGTGGGGGCGGGGGAGAGACTCACGGAGAGCCCGAGGCTGGACTTGGAGGCAGGACATTTCCCCTCCACCGAGAGAGGGGTAAAGCTTTCACCTGGACACCCGGCACTGCCCTTACCGCCTCTTTTGTTGGGAAGATCAAGTTAAGCAAATCAGATGATCCCAGACAGATGGTTTTTCAGAGTTGATAGATTCAACGTCTTTATTTCTTCAGCAACACAGACACCAATAGAATTTACTCAAAAGCAGAACCCCCCAACTTTGCACATTTAGGAAAACCCTGTAGCTCGCTGGGGTGTCTTCATTTCCTGAGCTGTAAGAATGCCAAAGGCTGTTCTTCTTTTTCTCCCCACCCTCCCCCAGCCCAGTGCTTCTTGGCTGGGTTTGCCACTGAGAGGCTGAAGCCTTTAGCTTTGGTCAGAAAGGTGTTAACCTTGGACCAGACCTGCCATTTGGGGCCTGGGTACGGTTTCCTTTGAGATTGTATGCAGGAGTACCCTCTTACTCACCCTTGACAAAGCATTATGTACCCATGGTGTCTGGTACTAAAATAATCTAGGAGATAGATGACTACAGAACAATACATCATCCATATTTGGGTTATTAGACATGGTCTGTGCTGTGACTTCACGTGGGCACATTTCCTTAATATTGAATACTTGCTTCAGCAGACCTCTCCGAGGCTTCCAGTCAACCACTGCAGGGGGAGTGATGGCTGTGACAAGGGAAAGGGCTTGAATTGAAGGTTTAGCAGGGAAGAAATTTACACGAGGGCAACTGAGGTTCGTTGGTATCAACATTCACTCAGTTCCAGGCCGTGTGCGGTTAATGCCGACTACCTTTTCTCTGATTAGAGATTTGCCTAAAATAATTATTAAGGGGGAAGGAGGAAAGGGACAGGGGCAGGAACTGACAAGGGAGTAAGCCTTCATTCTTGGGGTTTCTGTGGTATGCCAGGTTATTTATGTAATCGCATCAACCTTCTGAGATTTTTGTAGTTGAGCCAGCTACAGCTGAGACCAGATAGGTAACTTGTCAAGGCCCCACAGAGATTAAGTGGCAGAGTCAGAATTTGAACCCGTCAGGGTCAGACTTCAAAGCTGTGTCCTTTCCTGGCCACCATTAGTTAGGGCCGACTTCAGCTTTGACAGTTTATGCCCAGTGGGAGGGCTTAGTCTGTTTTGTGGCCTTTTTTTTTTTTTGGAGAAACTTTATGGGCCTCACAGGCCACATGTGACCACAGATGTGAGTTCTGCTGGCTTTCAGTGCCCACGGTGAAACAGCTGGTCCTTTCTTTGACTTGGGAAATAAAACACCATATCTCCAAGGGTCTTAGCTGCTACCAATCAGAGACAAGTAAGTGCTGAGAGGTCGTGAACAGCGAGGGTTGCCAGGTAACATTGAGGACATCCAGTTGAGTTTGAATTTGAGGTCAACAGTGAATAAATTTTTTAATCTAAGTATGAAAAGTGAAAGTCATTCAGTCATGTCCAACTCTTTGTGACCCCAGGGACTGTACAGTCCTTGGAATTCGCCAGGCCGGAATACTGGAGTGGGTAGCCATTCCTTTCTGCAGGGGATCTTCCCAACCCAGGGATCGAACCCAAGTCTCCCACATTACAGGCGGATTCTTCACTATCTGAACCACCAGGGAAACCCCAGAATACTGGAGTGGGTAGCCTATCCCTTCTCCAGCAGATCTTATATCACAGGCAATATTTGGAACAGTCTAGAAAATTATTCATTATCTGAAATTAAGGATTAACTGGGGGTTCTGTTTTTGTTGTTGTTTTTTCTGGCCTCCCACGGGAGCCTGAGTGGGATATTCTGAGATCAGAGCCCCTTGGGAGCCCAGCTCCCCTGACCCTGCACTACCCGTGCCCTCTTTCACACATTGCTGGGGCATTGGCTCAGTGCCTGCTTGTGCCCAGCCTAGCCAGAGTGGGCAGGTGAACAGAAGCAGCTGCCCCGGGCCCTCTGGGTAGTTCCTAACCCAACACCACACATGAGGCAAGTCCTGAGCTGAAGGAACGTCATTGTGAGAGTTTAGAAAGTTCTAGACTTGGGTTCATGAGGGCTTGTGAGAAAAGGCCCTTGGGAGGAGGGTGCAGGGGGGTAGTATAGCATGAGGGTTAAGAATTCCGGAACCTGACTGCACAATAGTCATGAGGACGGCCTTGTCTCGGGGCTTCCCGTTTGGTGCAGTGGTAAAGAACCCACCTGCAATGCAGGAAACATGAGTTCAGTCCCTGGGTGTGGAAGATCCCCTGGATTAGGAAGTGGCAACACACTCCAGTATTTCTTACCTGGAGAATTCCATGGACAGAGGAACCTGGCAGATTACAGCCTGTGGGGTCACAAAGAGTTGGACACAATTGCACATGCACAGCCATGTCCCAAAGGCTGACTACATAGCAGGCAGTGTGTTGAATGTTTCACACACCCCTCACCTCTCCATAGCCACACAACACCCCCATGGAGCATTATTGTCCCCACTTTAGAAGAGCAAGTGGCAGTTGTGAGAGCTCACACAGCTCTAAGTCATGGAACTGGGGTCTGATCCACATACTTGGCTCCAGCAGCCACACGGTCAACCACTGCCTGCCTCTCCCTCCCCTCTCTGGCAGCCCTGACTACTGACCCCTGGGCTCAGCCCTTGGGGATCCTTGGGGATCTTGCTGCCTCATTCAATAGGCTGCTGAATGTTTGCACAGGACTAAGAAATATATTCTGAGTTTTCTTTGTTTATTTATTTTTTGTTTTGGCCACACCACACAGCTAGTGGGATCTTAGTTCCTCGACCACGGATTGAACCTGCACCCTTGGCAGTGAAAGTAGAGTCCTAACCACTGCCCCGTCAGGAAATTCCCAGGAAAAATATATTCTGTATATTAATCTGTACGGAGGGTGATTCCCTGGTGGCCCAGGGGCTTGGACTCTGTGGTTTCACAGCTTGGGGCCCAGGTACAATCCCTGGTCAGGGAACTAAGATCCTGCAAGCCATATGGTGTGGCCAAAGGAAAAAAACAAATTCTTCATGGTGACCTCAAGTTAACCTCTCTGAGTATCAGTTTCCTCACCATAAAAAGAGCATAAAAATAGACCCTACCTCCTAGGATGATAAGAGGAGGACCCAGTGGCTCAGGAAGTGGTGTAGCTTCACAGTTTGTTGGTTTTTTATTTTAATCGTTATTTTATGTGTTTATCTATTTTTGGCTGTACTGTGTCTGTGTTGCTGTGCAGGTTTTCTCTAGTTGCAGTGAGCGGGGCCCAGTCTAGTTGCGGATCATGGGCTTCTCACGGCAGTGGCTTCTTGTTGCAGAGCATGGGCTCTAGGGTACACAGGCTTCAGTAGTTGCAGCACATGGGCTCAGTAGTTTGTGGCCCATGAGCTCGGTTGCCCTGCAGCATGTGGGATCTTCCCGGATCAAGGATTGAACCAGTATCTCCTGCATCGGCAGGTGGATTCTTTACCACTGAGCCACCAGGGAAACCCACATCATGTTTTTATTTGCAGAAAAACTCAGACCCAAGAAACTGATTCTGCTTTTTGCATCTGGGCTCTCTTGTCATACATAACTGTTTGGGCCAATGAATCTCTCACAGCCTCAATGTCTTCATAAGTGAAATATAAGGGTTAAAACTCTACCCCAGACAGTCACAAGGATGACATGGGCCAAGTGTTCAGGGCAGTGTAGATATGAGGCAGGCACATCTGCATCAGTAGCAGGGGTTGCTGTAGGTGACATGGTTTCAGGATGACTGTCCGCAGAGGTTGTGGTGGTGGTTGTTCAGTCTCTCAGTCATGTCCAACTCTTTGTGACCCCATGGACTGTAGCCCACCAAGCTCCTCCATGGGATTCTCCAGGCAAGAATACTGGAGCAGGTTGCCACTTCCTTCTCCAGGGGATCTTCCTGACCCAGGGATTGAACTGGCATCTCCTGCATTGGCAGGAGGATTCTTTACCACTGAGCCCCCAGGGAGGTGCTTACAGTTATTTCGTGGAAACATCCAGTGACTGTCAGATGCCTGTCTCTTTCTGGTTGAGGTGCCCCTGTGGGACACAAGAGTAATAGATGCTGCCTCTGTGTCACCGGGGAGGAACCCAGGGCTCCAACACAAAAGGAGGTGGCCCCTGGACCAGAACTCAGGTCTCCTTCCCCCTGTCCAGCATCTTACAAGCCCCTGCTGCCATGGCCGGTCTCTCTCTCCCCTGCTCTTCTGACACATCGAACACTGGCTGGGAAAGGGCCAGGCAGCCCCGCCGGGCCAGGCGCTATATGAAGAGTCCAGAGGCTCAAGTCTCTCTCCTCTTGCCCAGCCAGGAGCAGTCAGGGCGCCAGGAGCAGTCAGGCCGCCAGGGCACATGCTGAGGCCCATCTCTCCCCCATCTCTGTGGCCGTACCTGAGACTCCCCAGTATTCTCTTGGTGACCAGAAACCTCCCCCAGAGCCAGAAGACAGTTCTTTTGTGCTGAGATAAGGGCTGTGGGAGACAGCAGGGCTGGTTTGGCTGGGTTTCTTTTTCTTTTTTAATTTCTGTTGAAATGTGTTGTTTAATCACTAAGTCATGTCTCTTTGTGACCCCACGGACTACAGCATGCCAGGCTCCCCTGTCCTTCGCTGTCTCCTGGAATTTGCTAAGATTCATGCCCA